GTTCAAGCGATTCTCCTGCCTCAGCCTCCCAAGTAGCTGTGATTACAGACACACACCACCATGCCCAGCTAATTTTTGTATTTTTTAATAGAGACAGGGTTTCACTGTGTTGGTAAGGCTGGTCTTGAACTCCTGACCTCATGATCCACCCAGCTCGGCCTTCCAAAGTGCTGGGATTAAAGGCGTGAGCCACCACGCTCAGCCAAAAATTTGTATTATTATTTTTTCTTTATTTTATTTTAAGTTCTGGGATACATCTGCAGAATGTGCAGGTTTGTGACACAGGTATACATGTGTCGTGGTGGTTTGCTCCACCTGTCAACCTGTCATCTAATTTTAATCCCCACATACATTACATATTTGTCCTAATGCTCTCCCTCCCCTTTCCCCTCACCCAAAAATTTTTCTTTTAATGATATTTTCCAAACACTGTCTAGAATTACCAGATATGAAATAAACATATAAGGTGCCAACCAGCATCTACTCTGGAGTGGCCTTACCCTCTCAGGCTTCTAGTCAACTCCCAAATTCACTGCAAAGTGCTGCTGTCACAGGCAGAATAGTGTCTCTGCCTATTTGGTATTTATAGTCCTATACAGTCACTTCTAGAGGGGCTAGACCAGATTCCTACAAACTTCACAGGGCTGCGATCAACCATTTTACCTCTTTCAGTTACCTATCTTCAGACCTGAAACTGATTAGAGACCATGGGGCTTATAAACCCAATTAGAGTAACTTGTATGCACTGAGTATTACCAGTTCCTCCTATTGCTGAAATGTCCACAAATGTATAGGTAACACCTGCTGATACTCTTCTCTATCCAGAAGCTAAATCTGCAGCTCCAAGTTCTGAATCTAGGTCTTGAGATTTGGAAAATTAAAAAACTTACATCTGAGAAATGCAGGTCATTTTAGTTGTTAAACTTGAAGAGACTTTAAAATGAGAGCACAATCATTCCCTCCCCCCGCTTTCAACTGTGTATTCATCTCTTGAAACTATTTGCTGTTGCCACCAGTAGCTGTGAATGAAACTAATAATGCCACACTGGACACTCTAAACCTTAATGATGTACATCCAATCAATAATTAATGTATTTGTGTAAATAAGAATTTCTGACAAACAACTTTGTACCAGCCCAAAGAAGGGCCAGTCTCTGTCCTCTTTTTGCCTTTACAAATCCACTTGTAACATGTGGTAAACAAAGTATAGATTTCAGGCAACTTGAATCTTTGCTTTCATATTACAATCCTCAAGCTTGGCCCCCACAAAAAACTGTCTACTTATATTTATGTTGCCTCAGGTTTTTCCTTTTTGGTAGAAGTATCATTCCCCTTTATTATTATTATTATTATTTTATTTTTTTTTTTTTTTTACGGAGTTTCCCTCTTGTTACCCAGGCTGGAGTGCAATGGCGCGATCTCGGCTCACCCCAACCTCCGCCTCCTGGGTTCAAGCAATTCTCCTGCCCCAGCCTCCCGAGTAGCTGGGACTTAGTAGAGACGGGGTTTCACCATGTTGACCAGGATGGTCTCGATCTCTTGACCTCATGATCCACCCGCCTCAGCCTCCCAAAGTGCTGGGATTACATGCGTGAGCCACCGCGCCCGGCCATATTATTTTTTTTAAGACGTGGTTTCACCATGTTGGTCAGGCTGGTCTTGAACTCCCGAACTCAGGTGATCCGCCCACCTTGGCCTCCAAAGTGCTTGGATTACAAGCATGAGCCACCACGCCTGGCCTATCATTCCCCTTTATAGGAGAGTGTTTGCTAGTTAGCAGTTCCCTTTCTTTCCAGATGGCAGCATGAGCACAAACCGTAAGGAATGCATATTTAGAATCTGTATAGATGTTAAGGTTTTTTTCCTTGTCCCAATATTAGTGCTCGACTAAGAGCACTAATTTCAGCCTTTTGTGCTGATGTGCAGGGGTAATGGCTGGGCTTCAATCATTCTGTTATAATTTGCTATGCATATTCAGCTTGGCATGTCCCATTTGACACAAAACTACTGCTATCTGTACACCAGTCATCCTCTCAGAATCTGGGAGAGGCTGGTCTTTTAAATCAGGCCAGCTAACATATGTGTGTGCGACAACCTGCTTGCAGAAATGATCTGCCGTTGGGCCTGTGGGCAGCAATAAAACTGAATTCAGTGTGTTACAGGTTTTTTTTTTTTTTTTTTTTTGGAGAGGGGGTTCGGTTCTTGTTACCTAGCCTGGGGTGCAATGGCGCGATCTCGGCTCACCGCAACCTCCGCCTCCTGGGTTCAGGCAATTCTCCTGCCTCAGCCTCCTGAGTAGCTGGGATTACAGGCACGCACCACCATGCCCAGCTAATTTTTTGTATTTTTAGTAGAGATGGGGTTTCACCATGTTGACCAGGATGGTCTCGATCTCTTGACCTCGTGATCCACCCGCCTCGGCCTCCCAAAGTGCTGGGATTACAGGCTTGAGCCACCGCGCCCGGCCGTGTTACAGGTTTTAAGGGTTACATCTGGATCGCCTAGGATCATGGCCTAGTATTTGGCTAATCTTTCCCCTGTCATCCAGCTGTGTCCCCTTACCTGTAAGACTGACTTTACCTGATGGGAGTTAGAACTGCCAGTGGTTGTCCTAGGGTGATGTTAGTGGCTTCCTCCACTAACCTAACCGTGGCTGCTATTGCCTGAAGGCAACTTGGCCATCCCAAGGTTACTCTGCCCAACTTCTTTGAAAAATAGACAGTTGGTCCGGGTTCTGATTCTAATTTCTCAGCAAGCACTTACACGGCTATGCCCCTCTTCTCTGCTAATATGGGGAGAAGGGTTTAGTTAGGTCTGGGATGCCAGGAGTGTGAACCTGGGTGAGAGCCTATTTTCACTTGACAAAAGCTTCTCTAATTTTGGGGGTTTATTCCGTTAGCTCATTTTCAGACCCCCTTGCTGCTTCATAGTGAGGCTTTGCTATGAGTCCCAAAATTTGTATCTGTGTTTTGCAAAACTTGGCCATTCCCAAAAAAGAACAAAGCCGCTGCTTGGTGTTGGGGACCCCCAAATTACCTATGGCTTGCACTTGTTCTGGAGACATTTGCCAGGCTCTGGGTGTTAACAAATACCCTAAATATTGTACCCATTGGAGAATAATCTGTGCCTCCTTTTTGGATGCTTTGTATCCCATCTGCCAGAAAATTTGAAGTTCTTACAGTATTTTGGTCAGAAAGCTCCGGGGTTGGGCTACACAGAAGGTCATCCACCATAGTGAAATATACTCTCGTTCTGGGTTGCAGACCCCTCAGATCCCTCTGTAAGACTTGGGCAGAAAATAGGGGCCATCTCAAAAGCCCTGAGCGGGAGCACTGTCCAAGTGTATCGTGGGTTTTTTCCTGGTGTTAAGATTTTCTCATTTAAAACAAAAAAGTATTGGGACTCTGGGGCCACAGGAATAGAGAAGAAAGCATTTTATAGATCTAGGACTGAGAACAATTTTG